GATTTATGAAGAAGATGTGAACTCACCGATCAAATGATCGGTGGAAAATAATCAATTCATGTAACCGATTCCCGCAGATAAATGTTTACTAAAACATTTAATGTAAAAGGTCCAAGTGTGTAACATCTTAGGAAGGATGGATTGTCCAGAAATGGAATATAATATTCATGAGATATGCTTGTTGGTATAACAACTGAAAATAACACTGTGTTTTCCTTATAGCCCCTGCAGTTAAAGGGACAGGCCAAAAAACACTGATCACTCACAGCAGTGCATACAATATGTATTATATTGAATCCAAGTGTTGAAATCATGATTAACTAAGCAAGACTACTTAATTACTCCATCCTGTTTGTGGTCTTGTGGTGTTTGATATTGATAAATAACATATCATTAATGGTTTACGAGGGATGCACAATATTGGCAGATAATGAAATTACAGCCCAAACATTATTGATAATAATAATAATAATAACAACACTTCATATTCTTGTCCAAACATTTCATGGGCTTTATGCTCTATGAAAACCGAAGTATGTTTGTAATGTTTTTTTTATGAACTTTACTATAAAAACTAAATTAACATTTGAAGAGTCAGAACTCTTTTTCGTTTGTTGTTGTGTTAATAGTGATGTCAGACTGGGTTAGAATAGAGCTATGGAATATTAAATCATCTATCTTTGCTCATTACATCTTACCTTCCTTGCCATCCAGTAACTGACATGTTATGAACTCTGTTGTGTGAACTGTGAAATATGTTATTCTATCAGCCATGAGAAGCAAGTAATCATCGGTTATTGTATGAAAAAAAGATATACCTTGCCAGTCAGTGAGTCTCTGAGACTGCTTGTGATGTTCCGTTGCGATGGCCAGCGTATTGAAGAAGACTAGCATTATCACCCACCAGTAAAACAGTCTGGACTTTACATACACTCTGCATTTACGGCGTAACCAACGATTCCACTTACGAGCCAGCTTACTGCAGAAAAGGGGAAGAAAGACAAGTTGAATTAGGAGAAAAGGTGAGTACTCATAATAGTCTTAAGTATAGGCCCAGTTATCATGACTTCTCCCCACCTTTTTTCCATCCATTCTATGTCTAGCTTCTAGGATTTTTCAGAAGCACTCAAGTATAAATCCTACTACCGTATTTCCTCAAATCATGACCTGGGTCTCTGTTTACCTCAACAGTAGATGGAGACCAGGTTTTTATTTGAAGCAAGCTTATATTATTATTTCTAATTCCCTTTGTTTTATAAGGGCTGTGTATTTGGTCATATTTTAGTATGTCACTGTTATGCTGGTAATACAAGCTATACTTCCTGTATCTGTCTCAAAACAAAAGCCCTCTGGTGGACGGAATACCTTAATTTCTAAACAGGGCTTTTATTGCAAAGCTTTAGCAGGAACATGTGGAAAATTCAGTGACTTGCAAAATTCAATCAAAGTAGCTACTGCCATCTTGTCACACTTATTGGTTAAATTTGACTGAGACATTAACTCATATACACCCACAGTGACTGAAATATGACAATAATACTTTAGCTTTAATAATACAATGGTATACATTTGTAGTTTGCACACATTTTTTTAATTGAATATTATTAAATTCCTGAAAAAAAAATCTGGAAGATAAAAAAACTTATCTTCCACAGAAAGCCATGATGACAAACGCACTACTGACTAGTAATAGATGATCAGCTGCATTGTATCCATTTTGCTGACACTTCCGGTCTCTGATCCTCCATTTTCTGTAGTCAGCAGGCCTGATGAGAAACAAACACTTAGGTCATAGGTACAGTTCTATAGTTCATTTGCACATCTCGACAAGATTTAGATATAAGATTTAGATCGGTAGATACATTTTATTTAAAGGAGACATATTATGCCCCTTTTCAGGTCTTTTTTTTTTTGCCAAGCCTCCAAACCCAAGATTTAACATAAAAATGATGTTTTGGTCGTTGGTCTTAACTATGTAGTAGGGCTGCATAATTAATTGAAATATTATTAAAGTTCGTTACTTGGGACCAATTCTATTCACTTCTATATATGCTTCCCTTAGGCAATTATATTAGGAATCATTCCATTAACTTTAATTGTTATGATGATACCCAGTTATACCTGTCGATCAAGCCCGATGAAATTAATCAGTTATCTAAGTTACAAACATGTCTTAAGGACATAAAAACCTGGATGAGCTGCAA